AACAGAATAAAATCTTGGACTTTGATTCACCAAAACTTGAGCACAGGCTTCCTCATGTGAGTGCATGGGCATATATCAAGGAGAGACCACATCAGGTACTCTACAGATGCACGGTGCACAGTAGTAGAGTCATATCTTCTCGTAGAGTCAGCTGTGCAGAGGGACATTTTTTAGAGCACTGAGGTGTTCACGCAAATGCTTCGAGAGAGGTGTAGAAGAGGCCAGCTCTGTCTACCTGGACGACCACCAATGAGCAAAGATGGTAGGCTGGGTCACCGACTCCAAAATGATTCTCCTATTTGTTCTGTTGAGTTTTTGGTTTGTCTTTGATTTTGGTCGACAGATATTTAAATTAAGAGTCTTTTTTTCTACAGATCATAACAGAAATCTCTCGGTCACTCAGACGTCTTACTGACGCAATACTGAAGCATCAAACGTGGATTAATCCACCACTTAAATTCACTGATTCCTCCAGATTAAGAAAAATAGCTGCATTAGGAAATTATTGACTGTTGTTTTTAAATGAAGGTATATATTTTACAAGTTCATTCTAAAGATTTGTGTTTGGAGTTGCAAGCCAGAAGCATTGCAGGGAAAGTTCAGAGAAATAAAAGCCTTTAAAAATAAAAAGATTCTTTGTTTCTTCTCCGCTTTCTGCTTTTAAAACTTTAATAACAAAGATTTTTGTGTATAAAAATGACTTCAAACAAGCTGCTCTTCATAAAGACGAACTCTGCTCACGATGTAAATTTGCCTTCATTTCATCGTAACAATAAAGCATTATTGAGATGGAAACGAGCAGCATGACGCTGCCGCCTCAGGCCCTGGTGCATCATGGGACTCTGTCTGCGAGGGTGTGAGTATTTAAAGCTTGCATGTGTGTGTGTTTATTTTCAGCGTGTTTGACTATCAGCGAGTTCCCTCTTCGGTCCCAGCGGATCCCAGTCCTGTAAAACAGCCCCGCCCTTCGTCTTCGTCCTCCTCCTCCTCTTCATTGTCCACAGCGGCTCTGAGAATGAGGAGCAGCAGGCCGTCCAGAAGGAGCAACAACGCACACACCTCCGCCTCCAGCAGCAAATGTAAGAGGATGCTGTGCGGATAGAAAAATGACTTTGAACTTTTAAAGTTTAAACAATTTCAGATACAAAATTACAAGGTTTATATTTCTGGTATTATTTATATTATAGGTCAGTTATAGGGTGATGTAGCCGTGGATATTAGCTCTAAGTAAACAGCATTAAAGTACAAAACTTAACTCCAAATAATTGAACAATACTGGCAGTGGACATGCTTAATTTTCTATATTTAAAGTGGTAACATTTCATTTATTTCACTATTTTGATATTTATGCACATTCTCATATCCTGCAGAAACAAAGAAAATTAGTCACCTCATCAACTGAAGTCCAGCATTTGCTTGGAAGTGGTGGAGATGTGTGTTTAACCTCTATGTTTGTGTTTAGCAACATAAAAACCCAGTTTTTCATTTGTTTGTAGCCTTGGGCGGCCGCGCATCGCTTCCTCTT